CAACTCATGGCAACAATAGTTATGTTTAGTTCAACCACCTTTACTGCCACATTTATCACGCTCATTACATAACAAAACTTAGGATCAAAACAGAAAGCCGACAAGGTTTCAAAGGCTGTCATTGGACGCATAACGTCAACAACACAAAATTTATTCGGACAATGCCTACTGAGGAGAGGCCGACCAGAGAATAGCCTACGGCAAAATGTGCCTAAATTTCTTTTATAATTAACTTTTTCTACCGCGTATTTAACTAAATACGTAACACAAGTTTAGATTGTTGTGTTAATTATCTTAGAGTATTTTTACTTACAATTGTTATAAATCATAATGCTTTTAACGTCTATAAATAATTTATTCTATCAAAAAATACAACCCACAACAATACAACATAAAATTTTTTGACAATTCTTAACAAATTAATAAAAATATTTCTAAACAGATTTTTGTGACTTTTTTCTGTGCCTTTATTTCTGTGACTTTTTTTTTCCGATAAAAGTTTTTCCACTGTGACTTTTTTTCTGTGACTTTTTTTCTTAGCAAAAAACTGACTTTTTTTGTTTTTTTTTCCTGTGACTTTTTTTTCCGTTCACCACCCTCCCCCCCCCCCTGATTGGGTGCATGTCTTGACCTCCGCCAAACCCCATAGATTGACTCATCGAATCCTAGATTCGATCGAACCCAGGATAAGAACCACCACTCTAGTCGAATGAAACGTGTTTTATTTTGTACGATGTTGCTGGTTAGTCCCATTTTGAAAATGTAGTTGAAGCAACAGGCTGGTTCCGATATTGGATGTTACCGGCTGTTCCATTGTCTAATACTCCCACGTCTCTCATTATAATGACATTCTATTCTCATGACTGTTCATTAGGGGTAAAATGTTTGCCCTTATTACCTTATCGATTTCCCCAACATGTTTCTGCCTAGAAAGCCCGAAATAAAGCTTGTTTGATTGACGTAGTGTAGTATTATTTACCATTGGAGTGCCAGCTTTAAAGTTAAAGTGTGCTTAGTTTCATTTTTGCGTTGCATAAAATGACAACCGTTATTTTATCTAGCTAATTTATCAAAGATGGCTTAATTGAGATGACTCAGAACTCACCAAGTCATGTCGCACCACCCACATCCCCCGCGGTGGCCCACACCCACATGGTAACCCACATACATTAAACCTTGGATTATCTCCCCGCTTCAATTATTTTTTTTAACACAGCTGCAGAATATTTGAGCAACAGTTGGTGTGGGGGTTGTGTGTTACTATCAAAGGTATACGTTACGCGAGTATTGTGTTACTGTTGGAAAATTTCGGTGACTAATATTTACAGTCAGTTACAGTTAGGTTACAACTAACAGTAACTGCTGTAGCAAAGGTGTTTTTTTAAACTATTCACACCAGCAATAATAACAGTCTCATAGCGACTTGTAATGCCATTTACAGTGACAGAAGACAATGCAGTGGCGTCACAAGGTCGTGTGTCACCCAGTACTGTAACGATGTCAAACCACCCCCCTCCAAAATTTTGGATTTAAGATTTGGAGGCCCCCCCCCCCCCCCCAACCATTTTAATACTGTAATTTGTTTTGGAGGGGAATTCTATGCATTTTCAATTTTGGTGTCACCCCTTCATGGTGTCACTCGGTGCAGACCGCCCCCCCCCCCCGCACCCCTTGTACATGGACCTTGCATTACTAACCAAAGCAGCAGTTGCAGCAGATGATTTACAGCTGATTTCATATGTACGGTAACATATGCGGTGTGTAAATTGGGGTTACTATTGAACACATTCAAGCTAACATATTACAATTGTGTATTGGATGTATGTAAGCAAGTTGTCCGATGGCAGTGTGGGGGTAGAGAGGAGGTGTGGGGTGAAAGTTGTTAGGGTGGGGGGGGGGGGCGTGTGGCTTAGGGTTTGACGGGTGGTAGGAAGGGGGCGTCGCGTTCGGATAGTAAGAGGGGTGTGGCAGATCGGAGTGGTAGGTCAGGGGTGTGACGGGTCAGATTGCAGGGAGGGGGGGGGGGGGGTGTTACAAGATATCGAATTTTAAATTCACTCTAACAAGTTCTGATGTTCGTTTTTCCAATGACGCATTAAAGAAAAAAAACGTGTGTGTGTGGGAGGGGGGGGGGGGGGGGTGCAAATAGAAACATAAATGGCGGCTATACATAAACTGGCGGGAATTACATGAATCCCCCCCCTCTCCTCTTGAGCATGCGACACTATCGCGGGCTCACTGATGCATGACGATCGTCAGGCACTTAGGCATCGCAGACGAAGCGGGGCGGGTACAGTAGTTTATCATGTTCTCGAATGAAAGGAGAGGGGTTGGGGGGGATGTCATGGTCATTAACATGATACGCCACATGTTTAGGTATGGAGAGAGAAAAAAAAACTTGGAACAAAATAAAAAGTTCCATTCCGTAAGACGTCTAGACTTGACATTGTGGGATAGGTACGCGGTGGGGGGGGGGGGGGGGGGGGGGGGGGGCGACACGGTTAGTAGATTGTAGGGCAGTGTCATGCCTTTGTTGATGTAGTTGTTTGTAACTGATAGATGGCTGTAGGCTATACTTAATGCCTATGTATACATCTGTATACCTACCTCTACAGAGGATTTTAATATAGAATGCATATGTAGCCTGCCTATCTCTATATATATTCATGTTTGTAAAAAGTCAAAGGGAAAAAAAAAGTCGTAAATACATATTTGCATGGAATTTAATACTTTTAATGATTAAATATTCAGAAAATGCAAATCATTCCCAAGTATACTTTTGAATCAACAAATAAGTGACCCTCCCCTCCAAGTAATACTATTGAAAACCCCAGTAAGAGGTTTGTATTGAATTCTTGGTTGAAGAACAACAACGGGCTGGGGACCCTTTCTATGAACCGTAGGGTTGTAGACACAACCAATCAACAGAAGTCAAATACTCGGGTCTTTAAACAAAAGGTGGTGTTTGGCAATGTTGGTGAAATTTTGGAGTTGATAAGTTGTGCTCATCTGAAATTACCCATCTCATTGGCCCAGCTATGCAAGTTGATTTATCACGAATTTTATCTAGGGATGTGTATGGGGGGGGGGGGGGGGTATTATTTCCAATGTTTTCACGATTGATGTATTTTGAATACACACTTCAGAACATGTTACTAACACATTACAAGAAGACCCAAGTATTTTTTTAAACGTGTTATCACTGATTACCACATACACAGTAAAACGGGAAACTGAATAGGAGGCAGCGTTTCCCCAAACCACTGAAGTAAAGACTGAAGAATCGTCAAATTTTGAAATCTACATTTAAGGTATTTTCCTCAGTGCTACTGGCTACCTGACCCCCCCCCCCCTTTCTAAAACACGGCTGTTGTTTTTATCTAGACCTGCCCGTCTACCCCTCCCATTGTCTTAAAGGATGTTACAAACAGAAGAACCACGTACAGATAAAAAACAAAACAACACGTTCCTGTTGCATTGTTGCAAGAAGAAAGACGCCATTGTTTTAATTTCCACAAGTCAACATTGTATCCAGAGAAGCCATACACAAGACGATATATATATACAGGCCCTCCATCTATACTGCACGTCAGACCTTAACCAAACCCTAACCCATACCTTGTTACACTACACCAAAACTTTAGCAAGGAATACATGTCTTATTTTCATTAGTTCAACAGCATACACAATAAAACTATTTTTCTTACTTTCCTCAACATCCACTGAGACGTATTCAAACTCTCCTTTTAAAAATATATATTATATATAAAGTACTTTCAGTTGTGTTATTTAATGATAAGACATGTTTTATATTCTGTCACTTATTTCATAACTAATGTTATAATGATGGTGTGTGGGTGTAATCTAATTACAGCTAAGCTATCCCTATTGATAAGATTTGTGCCATTGTGGATGTCAGTCCATTTGTCAGTAAGGTGGATGTTGTTGGCAAGACATGAAATCATCACAAAATTATAGCATTCATATAATTATCATGATATTAAAGAATAGGATAAATGACTTAAGATTTAATACAGCACATTTTGTCTAAGAGCAGCACTGATCAGTCTTTCCATTAGATTCAAACCTTGACTTATCTAAGTTAGTTTCTATATCATTATAGTTTTAAAATAAAAAATGGTCAACAAAATAAAATTAGAGAAAATTTGTGGATTCACAAAGGCACATTTAAAAATGTTAAGCCTTAGTTTTTGTCAAGTTAAAACTATAGAGTCATATAGAGCCAGGAGCCTAAAACTCTGGAGCCACAGAGAGCCAAGAACCTAAACTTGTGGAGCCACAGAGAGGAGCCTAAAACTCTGGAGCCAGAGAGAGCCTAAAACTCTGGAGCCAGAGAGAGCCTAAAACTCTGGAGCCAGAGAGAGCCTAAAACTCTGGAGCCAGAGAGAGCCTAAAACTCTGGAGCCAGAGAGAGCCTAAAACTCTGGAGCCAGAGAGAGCCTAAAACTCTGGAGCCAGAGAGAGCCTAAAACTCTGGAGCCAGAGAGAGCCTAAAACTCTGGAGCCAGAGAGAGCCTAAAACTCTGGAGCCAGAGAGAGCCTAAAACTCTGGAGCCAGAGAGAGCCTAAAACTCTGGAGCCAGAGAGAGCCTAAAACTCTGGAGCCAGAGAGAGCCTAAAACTCTGGAGCCAGAGAGAGCCTAAAACTCTGGAGCCAGAGAGAGCCTAAAACTCTGGAGCCAGAGAGAGCCTAAAACTCTGGAGCCAGAGAGAGCCTAAAACTCTGGAGCCAGAGAGAGCCTAAAACTCTGGAGCCAGAGAGAGCCTAAAACTCTGGAGCCAGAGAGAGCCTAAAACTCTGGAGCCAGAGAGAGCCTAAAACTCTGGAGCCAGAGAGAGCCTAAAACTCTGGAGCCAGAGAGAGCCTAAAACTCTGGAGCCAGAGAGAGCCTAAAACTCTGGAGCCAGAGAGAGCCTAAAACTCTGGAGCCAGAAACTTAATGTGGGGTTAAAGCTAGGAACAATCTCCTCTAATGCAGTAGAGCACCTTTGACCAACGACATCCTCCGCCCCCACACAAGCATGCAACACTCACACTACACTGACCAGCCACAAAACAAAACACACCAAAATGCCCACTGGTCACTCAGACATCACACTATGTAAATCAACAACAACCAGTGGAAAAAATATTTTTTAGACCACCACAACAAAATTTAACTGTCATTCATCAAAATTCATTTTTTTTTTTTTTGGTGGCCAAAAACTCACACATGGTTAAAAATTCTTATTTTGGCCACAGCAATCAACATGGCCATGAGTCAACCATTAAAAAAAACAAAAACAAATTTGACTACACCTAGGTTTGTCAGACATGGTAAAACTCCGAGGATTAAAACAGGTTCAGCTCATGTAAACACAAACAGCCCATCATAAAATCTCAAACTGTTTCTTCAGCTCCACCATCAGCCTCCAGTCCTGTTTGGACATTTCCTCTCTGAAGTGGTCCTTGACTGCGTCTATGGATTGTCTGGAAATCTGAACCAGGAAATCAAACAATTTTTTTAATATCAATTATGATTATACTTCTTATAACGTTATTTAATGAAGTAAATCTTCTGGATGTAATGGTCTATAGGGTAGATAATGTAGAGTTCATGTTTTTCTGTGACATATAAAGGGATAGTGTGGTCAGTACATTAACTTTCCCAAATGTGAGTTAGGTACCCATCAGAGCTTGGTAGACTAAGGGATATACTAGAGAATCCTAGATCTGAACTCAAGACTTAATGTCAGCAGTTGACCGCAAGTGTGGCTGACCACAGGTGTGCAAGTGTGACTGATCACAGGTGTGCAAGTGTGACTGACCACAGGTGTGCTAGTGTGACTGACCACAGGTGTGCTAGTGTGACTGACCACAGGTGTGCTAGTGTGACTGACCACAGGTGTTTAAGTGTGACTGACCACAGGTGTTCAAGTGTGACTGACCACAGGTGTTCAAGTGTGGCTGACCACAGGTGTTCAAGTGTGGCTGACCACAGGTGTTCAAGTGTGACTGACCACAGATGTGCAAGTGTGACTGACAAGACTTTTCTCAAAGACCAGTTACAGAAAGTACTTACCTTGCTGACAAGCATATCTGTCTCGTCAAAGTGTCGGCCATACATTTTGGGTGCCTCCCCTGGTATGGGTGTGATCTTGATGCAGACGTCCTGTCCTTGTTTGGCTATGTCCACAGGTTTGTGGTTAGCTTCTATGCTGGTCACTCTACCCAACTCTACAAACTAAACACAAAAATACTTCTTAAGTTAGTCACACAAATCAACCATGAAAAAAATATTTCCAAACAAGGGATAACATCACAGACAATATTCCTCACATCACTAAACAAGTTCTACAGATTTTGGGAGAGTCTCACATTTTTAATCTGTATGAAATAAATCTTATTTATCAACAGGCTTAGTATTGGGGTACTAATGACAATGGCTAATCATCAAGTAAACTTTCCAAAACCTTTATTAATAAAACTAAAAAGTATCTCTATAATGAATCTTTTTCTTCTTTGTTCCTAATTTTTATATTGGCCACAATTTCCTCCAACATATTTAAGTTTTTATGTGTCAACACTTTATGGGCCATTTGGTCCATTGACTTCAATTTCAGCCTGGTTTTTCTTTTCTATTTTTGCTTCCCAGCCGTTGTCATTCAAAGAACACACTACAATGAAGCAGTTCTTTAAAGAGCTTTCTCTCCTAGATGGGTTGCTGTTCCCAAGATATTGAGCCACATTTTGCCTGACAGTTGATCTTGGGACTTTTCAGTTTAGCAATCATGAGCTTTATTGGCCCGCCCACACCCATCCCTTTCTAAAATAATTCAGTAGTAGAGGAAACCAGTCATGCTATAATGGTGAAGTACTTGTGACATTTTGTCTAACTGCAATATGCATGTGTATTCAATCAATGAACACAGATTTACAACAAAAATTCAGCCTGTATCCTTTGATGGTAAAGTGCATTTAGAAAATGTCCTAATTGTATTATGTGCATATATGTGTGGTGACTGAAATGAAAATGTGGAGCAGGTTTGAAACTGACCAACACGCTGGCCAGCTGGGAGAGAACATCCAACTTGCCTGGTGTCCTACGCTAAGTTTCATTGGATGACAACACATGGGGGGTGGGAGGGGGGGGCAGAGTTCTTCCATTGGCTGGTCAAACACAAACAACATTTAGCAGACAACAGCTACTGGGAGAAAACAGCTTGTCCTTCAACATGGAACTGTTAGTCAAGTCTGCAAACACATTGCCAAACTGTGGGCTGGTTGCTTTCCCTGTCTGGTCAGATGGTAACTTCCTTGTCTGCTGGGATGGTTTGTTCTCTTGTCTAAAGGGGATGGTTAGCTCCCTTGTCTAAAGGGGATGGTTAGCTCCCTTGTCTAAAGGGGATGGTTAGCTCCCTTGTCTGGTTGGGGATGGTTAGCTCCCTTGTCTAAAGGGGATGGTTAGCTCCCTTGTCTGGTTGGGGATGGTTAGCTCCCTTGTCTATTGGGGATGGTTAGCTCCCTTGTCTGGTTGGGATGGTTTGTTCTCTTGTCTATTGGGGATGGTTAGCTCCCTTGTCTAAAGGGGATGGTTAGCTCCCTTGTCTAAAGGGGATGGTTAGCTCCCTTGTCTAAAGGGGATGGTTAGCTCCCTTGTCTAAAGGGGATGGTTAGCTCCCTTGTCTGGTTGGGATGGTTTGTTCTCTTGTCTATTGGGGATGGTTAGCTCCCTTGTCTAAAGGGGATGGTTAGCTCCCTTGTCTGGTTGGGGATGGTTAGCTCCCTTGTCTAAAGGGGATGGTTAGCTCCCTTGTCTGGTTGGGATGGTTTGTTCTCTTGTCTATTGGGGATGGTTAGCTCCCTTGTCTAAAGGGGATGGTTAGCTCCCTTGTCTAAAGGGGATGGTTAGCTCCCTTGTCTAAAGGGGATGGTTAACTCCCTTGTCTGGTTGGGATGGTTTGTTCTCTTGTCTATTGGGGATGGTTAGCTCCCTTGTCTGGTTGGGGATGGTTAGCTCCCTTGTCTATTGGGGATGGTTAGCTCCCTTGTCCATTGGGGATGTTTAGCTCCCTTGTCCATTTGGGATGTTTAGCTCCCTTGTCAGGGGGTGGTATGGTTATGTTACAAAAGGACCTATTACTGAGATGGTTACTGCTGATGACAGTTAATAGTGGGTCAAAATAAACCTAGCTCTTGCAACTAACAGGATCTAGTGTGAAAAAACAACATTTTGGGTGCCTGGGTCGAAATCCCATTACGCACGGGACAGGTTCTTGTTATAGATATGACCAGTTTTTTAGGTAGTGATGAAACCATTATGTGTAGCTTATATCTAGGTCCGGTTAGCATTTGGTTACTGGTTTCTTTTTTCCGAGCACTCATGAGCGTGTACAGTTTCCACAGATTACTGACACCGGTGATCTCTCCTGACGGAGCCCTCCTAAACACGTAAAACACAGCCGGCACGGGACCTAATCTCCCCTCACCAAAAGGCAGCCCGCCGTATGGTTTTAATAATTACAACACGTCCAAACTATCATTACAATTTAAGGCGGCCGTGTCATGCTCCACGCTTTGATGGTCAGGATTTTCCGTTTCCGGTCTGACTGTTGATCTAAGGGGGGGAAGGGAAGAAACGAGGTAGTAAATGGCCTAATAAATTGGTGAACACAAGCTTCCCCCCTCGTCATCTGTTTATCTTTTCGCGCGCGTACAAGGGGGCTGAAGGTGGCTACCATTTGACGGCGCAGCAAGTCTTACGCACATCTATTAATAGCCACTTCCTGCCGCGCCGATTTGGTCAACCGTACCCGTACATCAAGGGCCTGTACTCATGTTGACTATTATTCCCCTTCTTTTACAACTAGATCTAAGTGTTTATAACCTTCTTTCTGGTTTTAATTATTGTTACTTTTTTTTTTTAAAAAGAAAAAAAAAAAACCTCAGGGACGACAAAAAAAAATCCGTTAAAACAAGAACTGCCTAGTGTGCGGGGGAAAGTAGCGAAAATTAATGTTTTTTTCTAGCAAGAAAACAAGTTGCTCGATCTTATTTTTTATGATCCCCCACCCCCACCACATCAGATCCCCCCCCCCCACACACACACTGATACAGAGTATTTTGTTTTTTAATAATGTGGGGAGAAGTTTAAAATGTATTACTTTATGTTGATGTAAATAATGTAAAAGGCATTTTTAGTACCTCGTGGGATCGCCCAGGTTCATGCCCCTTATCTGACCCCTTCATCTCTCGCTGACCACATAGGTACTTATAAAGATAGATACCCTTATTGTTCTATCGGTAGAGCTGTTGTTGTTAAGCATACTCATGTTCAATTCAATAAATGAAAGTTTACAAAGACTTGAACCCCCCTCCCCCATTCATAGCTTAATTTCGATAAAAGTCTACCGTTTCGAACACCCCCTCCCCTATCCGTTGTCGACCCCATACATGGATAGCCACAGAATATTTACGCCATTAATATAAATAAAGTTACTAACAGGCAAAATGCCAACTAATTTAAATTTTTGTAAAAAAAAAACACCAGGCGAAACTTATATTTTTGTATCAGTTTTTGTCTGACTTCTCTCTGTATCCTCCATCCCTTCACCCCAACACACCAATAAGTTCAAGCTAATAAGTCAGCCCAAATTGGCCAGCACCGCATGGGGCGCTGACCATACGCCAGCCGTGATCGCTAGACAGCTGCCTTGTTTGACCCACCGGAAGTTGGGCACCGCGTGGGGCACCGCTAATAAACCACGGCAACTGTACCGCACCTAAACCACGGCAACTGTACCGCACCTAAACCACGGCAACTATACCGCACCTAAACCACGGCAACTGTACCGCGCCAATAAACCACGGCAACTGTACCGCACCTAAACCACGGCAACTGTAGCAAACCTAAACCACGGCAAATGTACCGCACCTAAACCACGGCAACTGTACCACACCTAAACAACGGCAACTGTACCACACCTAAACCACGGCAACTGTACCACACCTAAACCACGGCAACTGTAGCAAACCTAAACCACGGTAACTGTACCGCACCTAAACCACGGCAACTGTACCGTGCACCAACAAACCACGGCAACTGTACCGTGCACCAACAAACCACGGCAACTGTACCGTGCACCAACAAACCACGGCAACTGTACCGTGCACCAACAAACCACGGCAACTGTACCGTGCACCAACAAACCACGGCAACTGTACCGTGCACCAACAAACCACGGCAACTGTACCGTGCACCAACAAACCACGGCAACTGTACCGTGCACCAACAAACCACGGCAACTGTACCGTGCACCAACAAACCACGGCAACTGTACCGTGCACCAACAAACCACGGCAACTGTACCGTGCACCAACAAACCACGGCAACTGTACCGTGCACCAACAAACCACGGCAACTGTACCGTGCACCAACAAACCACGGCAACTGTACCGTGCACCAACAAACCACGGCAACTGTACCGTGCACCAACAAACCACGGCAACTGTACCGTGCACCAACAAACCACGGCAACTGTACCGTGCACCAACAAACCACGGCAACTGTACCGTGCACCAACAAACCACGGCAACTGTACCGTGCACCAACAAACCACGGCAACTGTACCGTGCACCAACAAACCACGGCAACTGTACCGTGCACCAACAAACCACGGCAACTGTACCGTGCACCAACAAACCACGGCAACTGTACCGTGCACCAACAAACCACGGCAACTGTACCGTGCACCAACAAACCACGGCAACTGTACCGTGCACCAACAAACCACGGCAACTGTACCGTGCACCAACAAACCACGGCAACTGTACCGTGCACCAACAAACCACGACAACTGTATCGCGCCAAACGTGGCGCTGTCTGCGGGAACTGGACAGTAACGCCACGTGTCAAGCCTTCAGCCGGCTGGAGAGTTATATCTCGTGCCACATAGGTGCCAGGCTGACATTTTCCGGTCAGGGCCAATAGTCCCCCCCCCCCCACCACCACCACACACAAGACTAAGTCACATGTCCATGTAAAGAACGTGGTGCTTTGTACCGGTAGACACAAATTAGGTGGAAGGAATAAGTAAATCAGAACATTGAGAATAGAATAATAGACTGAATTAAGACACTATGGGTGATGAAAAAAAAGAACCGTTCACCAAGAGACAATATAGATTGCCTGGTGATTTGGTAGGTAAAAATTGAGAGAGTTGAATAGCCAAGACAAAGGGTCAGAAATGGTGGACCTAGAAGGGGGGGGGGGGGGGGGATAATGGATTAACTAGAAGGGTGGACCGAGGTGGGAGAATGGTGGACCTGGGGAGGGGGAGATGGTGGACCTAGGTGGGGTGGGGGGGAAAGGTGGACCTAGATGGGGCGGGGGATGGTGGACCTAGGAGGATGAAATGGTGGACCTAAGTGGATGAAGTGGTGTTTAAATGGACTATCTACTCCCGTAACCCCCAAGTCGATAAAAATTATTTTAAATAGAAAATAAATAATTTAACTCCCCTTCCCAGGAGTAAAATTGAAAGAACAGCAGCTTGGCACAGTTGCTCTATAATACAGCCACTCAATGTTCTATTGAAAACATCAATTTTCATGTTGAGGTGTCAGAGAGACAACTTCACATTTCTATACAATGGTCTAGCCTCTAACACCCCATGTCACCAATCATTCAACCATGACCTCACACATCTGAAAGTAGTCACTGGATTAGAGCGGACATGTTGGATACATGGTCCACTTGTTAGTGCCTGGTACAAGTGATACTTTAAAGAACTGGTGGAAGTCACATGAGGACAAACATAAGACAGGTAGAAACCATGAGCTGACTAGGAGAAACCTAGATGAGTTACTGCTTGTCATTTGCCTCTAGGACTGGTAAGTATGTCAACAACCAGTTCTACGGCTCAATAAAACCCGCAAGAGCCATAGAACTGGTTGGTGACCTACTTACCAGCCCTATAGTAGCATCATAGTTAGATAACAACACTTGCACAAGAGCTGACTAGGAGAAACCTAGTTGAGTTACTGCTTGTCATTTGCCTATAGGACTGGTAAGTATGTCACCAACCAGTTCTACGGCTCAATAAAACCTAAAACCTGCAAGAGCCATAGAACTGGTTGGTGACCTACTTACCAGCCCTATAGCAGCATCATAGTTAGATAACAACACTTGCTCAAGAGCTGACTAGATGAGTTACTACTTGTTATTTGCCTATATCAGCACCATAGTTAGATAACAAAGACACACCTGTCCACGTTTTCCTACCTACCAGATTGAAACCAGGGCCGATCCAGAAAATAGAAAACAAATAGCACAACATTTTGACAATGAAACCTGGGGCTGAAAGTTATCCATAAAAGCAAAGTCAAGAATCCTCAATTGGGCAGATGAAGCAGAGTTCATGTTTCTTGGCCACAGTACATACCCAGCTGCCTTTACTTTGCCTAACATGAGTTAAGTACCCATCAGAGTTGGGTGGAATCAGGACTAGAACATGGATTCAAACTAGAAAATTCCAGGTTAGCTGCAAAGCCAACTACTGCTTAGGCCACGCCATCCCATGAAAGTGATCCATGGCCGCAACTATTTTATTGCAACCACCTGTTTCTCTTATATCTTTAAAACATCATAGGGCCTCTATTTTTCAGACTGCAGCGACTTACTATGCAACAGCAAATTTCTTATCAAAGAGTTAGAATGTTAGTTTCAAAGCAAAACATTACCTATTGAAAAAACATGAAAACACTCACTTCTTTACTAGGAACACAGATTGGCGTCCCTTCCTTCACAAAGCCAGCCTCAATGCTGACGCCCATCACAATAGGATCGCGAGAGTTAAATATAAACTGTGGCAGGATGCGGAGCTTGCAAGGGAAGACAGCAATGTGCCGAAACTCCTCCTGCTTCTTCCTCTTGAGCTCGTCCCTGTACTTGGTGAAGGCGTCAAACAGGTGGTAGATGATGTCGGCCGTGAAGATCTTCACTCCCAGTGTGTCGGCCATCTCCTGGGCCTCCCTCTCCACCTTGACGTCAAACGCCAGGATAACTGCGTACCTGGAGAAAATCAAAAGTTCACTTTCAAACCTGACAAGGGCAAGTGAAGTAGATTTCACTTGTTTCTGTGACCTCTGCATATGAAGAGATAGTGTGGTCAGCACTATGCAAATCCGCCTTTACTTTCCGTAATGTGAGTTGGGTACTCATCAGTTGGGTGTACTCAGGGACAGTCTATTGAATTGAACCCAGATTCGAACTCGAGACGTACGGGTTAGTAGTCCAGCTCTCTACTGCTAGACCACTCCATTCCCCACTGCGTACCTGGGGATATGGCAATCACCAGGACTAACTGGACAGATACATCATGAGGTTTTGATAGGAGAATATGTTAGGGATTGAAAGTCTCCATCACCTGGAGATGTGGTCTGGAAGATGGGGTAAAGGAACCATAGATAGATAACAAGAACAGAGTCATGGCACTTACTGAGAATCATGTTCCAGCATGACTGAGGCCTTCATTATATCTTTCTTGTGTACAGGACCAATGCTAATACCAGCATACTGAAAGATAAAATACACCACTAATCACACAGAAATATGAATTTAAAAAAAAAAATAATGCATGAGAATAACTAGATATTCCTACCTACAACAGGAGCAGGTTATTAACCCCCTCCCCAGATTAATTTCCCCTCAGTCCATTACCACCACCCACAAAACAGCAAGGGTAAGGTTAGAGAATTCCTTAGAGAAAGTACAAAATATGATTTATTTCATACTCTGCCAGCTGTTTCTTTTCTTCACTACACACAAAATGTAGAATATTTTCAAGGCGGTGCGGGTAACTAACATGGAGAAGGTGGTAATGTCCAAAACCCCTCCAAAACACAGTACGTAGAAATTAAACTGTTTGGGAGTTACATAGATAATTAAATTTGAACAAATCCAGGAATGAAGAAGTTTCCAGCACACATGGGTGCACTAGCAGGGCGACAGAGCACATTAAAGCCGTGTTTGAAAGATGTAAAAACTTACAGGAATTTCTGATGTCTTGAGGAATTCCAGCAGGGCTTCCAGAGATCCCAGCGTGGAGGCTTGAACAAAGACTCCCCTCTCCTGGACCTTGATGGCTTCTAGCGTGTCCTTCAAGATGGCTGCCACCTCTTCCTGTTGGAGAAATCACATTCTTATCAGCACAGTATCAAAACACACCAACACTTTTACAAACAAGCTACCAAAAGCTGGCTTATACCATCCTCCCTTTAACAAAAACAGATGCTGGACATAGCGAAGAGAAAAAATTTAACATTCACAAACCTTGTAGTATTCCTTCTCATCATTGTCATGGGCTACATACAGAGGTAATCCAGCTAAAGCCTTCTCCATGTCTTTAGCAATGATCTTCACACCCTGGGCAGCCTTCACTGTCTTGTGGTGTTCATACTGGCTCTAGAAAACAGCAGCACAAACAGTGTTAGTGGGTTCATTCAAAACTAATATAAAAACAACTGTCTTTAACAAACTACTTAAGCCTACTAAGGCACATTTTCTTTCCTAATACAAATCTTATATTATTTAAATTAAAAAAAAACATGTTCGCACTACAAATAAATAAAAATTGAAATACTTTGTACAAAAAGATGATGATAGTGAAAACGGTTATCCATATTGTACTCACCTTGACCCTAAGCTCCTTCATGGGCTGGGGCATGAGCAGACCTCTGATTTGTGTGACTATTGGACCCTCTGTACCTGCCAGGACTATAGTGTCCCCTTCATTTATACTTCCATTGATTAGGATGACGTCTATAGTGGTCCCCATACCAGTGATGGCCTTCACCTAGTGGACAAATATTGCAGCTTTAGTATTTGTCTTATTATGAGAGGCTGACTCTTTAGCTATTGGTAATTTTGTGTTGAATGAATGAATGACAAGTTTATACAATATGTAGAATGTGTGAAGATGACTTGAGTTTAATGGTTTACTTTGAGTTATGTGCACTCATCTATCCATAATCTTAAAATAGATTAATATCGTAAAACTTTCACCATCTTCTAACATATGTCAGCAATACCACAACACATCCACCATCTTCTAACAGATGTCAGTAATACCACAACACATCCACCATCTTCTAACAGATGTCAGTAATACCACAACACATCCACCATCTTCTAACAGATGTCAGTAATACCACAACACATCCACCATCTTCTAACAGATGTCAGTAATACCACAACACATCCACCATCTTCTAACAGATGTCAGTAATACCACAACACATCCACCATCTTCTAACAGATGTCAGTAATACCAAATACATCCACCATCTTCTAACAGATGTCAGTAATACCACAACACATCCACCATCTTCTAACAGATGTCAGTAATACCACAACAGATCCACCATCTTCTAACAGATGTCAGTAATACCACAACACATCCACCATCTTCTAACATATGTCAGTAATACCACAACACATCCACCATCTTCTAACAGATGTCAGTAATACCACAACACATCCACCATCTTCTAACAGATGTCAGTAATACCACAACACATCCACCATCTTCTAACAGATGTCAGTAATACCAAATACATCCACCATCTTCTAACAGATGTCAGTAATACCACAACACATCCACCATCTTCTAACAGATGTCAGTAATACCACAACAGATCCACCATCTTCTAACAGATGTCAGTAATACCACAACACATCCACCATACATTTTCTAACAGATGTCAGTAATACCAAATACATCCACCATCTTCTAACAGATGTCAGTAAACTAATACCACAACACATCCACCATACATTTTCTAACAGATGTCAGTAACACCATACACATCCACCATCTTCTAACAGATGTCAGTAATACCACAACACATCCACCATCTTCTAACAGATGTCAGCAATACCACCCTTCCCACCCCCCTTATCCACCAGCAGACAACCCCCCCCCCCTCCCCCACCTAAAGCAGTAAACTTAAAACCTTTTCCCGCCAGTGTCGACATTTTAAACAGCTCGTTTCACACTTGGCTGCACCAGGCACCACCTGATGTCAGCCACACGTGGTCACAGGTGGAGGGATGGGTGGGTGGAGGTGGGTAGGGGGAGGTGGAGGTGTGCAAGGTTGGAAGGTAGGTGTAGGCGGGCCGAGGCAAAAAAAAAAATCACAAAATGCAAGTGTGTTAATAATAAAACCACGACCAATGTTTGTGTTTATAATTAGGTTAGTGGAACACGCTTATGTAATAAATGCATTGCGAACATGATTAGACGTTTGTATGCAAGCCAGGTGTAAAGATATTTCATTCAGATCGGCGTGCACGCGGATGCAGAGACCAGCTAGCCTGAGAAACACAAGCACCAGCTAACGTTAGGTCTGAGAATCTCAAGGAGTGGGCGGGCCAGGTTAATCATCTATCCTTTAAAGATACAGCCGAGATTTCGTAAGCCTACATGATTTTAACATGCAGCGAAGATTTCGTAAGCCTACATGATTTTAACATACAGCCGAGATTTCGTAAGCCTACATGATTTTAACATACAGCCGAGATTTCGTAAGCCTACATGATTTTAACATACAGCCGAGATTTCGTAAGCCTACATGATTTTAACATACAGCCGAGATTTCGTAAGCCTACATGATTTTAACATACAGCCAAGATTTCGTAAGCCTACATGATTTTAACATACAGCCAAGATTTCGTAAGCCTACATGATTTTAACATACAGCCAAGATTTCGTAAGCCTACATTATTTTAACATACAGCCGAGATTTCGTAAGCCTACATGATTTTAACATACAGCCGAGATTTCGTAAGCCTACATGATTTTAACATACAGCCGAGATTTCGTAAGCCTACATGATTTTAACATACAGCCGAGATTTCGTAAGCCTACATGATTTTAACATACAGCCAAGATTTCGTAAGCCTACATGATTTTAACATACAGCCGAGATTTCGTAAGCCTACATGATTTTAACATACAGTCGAGATTTCGTAAGCCTACATGATTTTAACATACAGTCAAGATTTCGTAAGCCTACATGATTTTAACATACAGCCAAGATTTCGTAAGCCTACATGATTTTAACATACAGCCGAGATTTCGTAAGCCTACATGATTTTAACATACAGCCGAGATTTCGTAAGCCTACATGATTTTAACATACAGCCGAGATTTCGTAAGCCTACATGATTTTAACATACAGCCGAGATTTCGTAAGCCTACATGATTTTAACATACAGCCGAGATTTCGTAAGCCTACATGATTTTAACATACAGCCGAGATTTCGTAAGCCTACATTATTTTAACATACAGCGAAGATTTCGTAAGCCTACATTATTTTAACATACAGCCAAGATTTCGTAAGCCTACATGATTTTAACATACAGCCAAGATTTCGTAAGCCTACATTATTTTAACATACAGCCAAGATTTCGTAAGCCTACATGATTTTAACATACAGCCAAGATTTCGTAAGCCTACATTATTTTAACATACAGCCAAGATTTCGTAAGCCTACATGATTTTAACATACAGCCAAGATTTCGTAAGCCTACATGATTTCACCACATACAGCCACGATTTCATAAGCCTGCATTATTTTAATATAAAGCCAAGATTTCATAAGCTATACTCTTTACACAGCCAAGATTTCATACGCTTACATTATTTTAACATACAGCCAACATTTCATAAACAGAATGACACAGTCATATCCAACACGTCACGTCGTGTGTCACACACAGGTCATGTCACACCGTTCACGTCGTGTGCCACCGTTCACGTCGTGTCACACGGTTCACGTCGTGTGTCACATGGTTCACGTCGTGTGTCACACGGTTCATGCCGTGTCACACAGTTCACGTCGTGTGCCACACACGTTCACGTCGTGTCACACACTTCACGTCGTGTGTCACACACAGGAAATTACATCTATTAAGGTTTGTGTGGGATGGGGGAGGTATGAAGGTTATAAATAGTCTTCTAAACCTGTTATTTAATTCGATCATTTAGAGTAACTTGGTAACTAAGTTAATTTTACACAGAGATCATGGTGACCGGTTGCATATTTTCATCTCCCGCCGTACAAGACAAGAAATCCCTTAACATTACGAACCAACCCTAACAAGACAAGACACCCCCTGACATTACACGCCACCCCTAACATTACGAACCACCCCTGCCATTACGAGCCACCCCCAGACATTACGAGCCACCCCCGACATTACGAGGCACCCCCTAACATTACGAGCCACTCCAGACACTACGAGCTACCCCCAGACATTACGAACCACCCCTGCCATTACGAGCCACCCCCAGACATTACGAACCACCCCTGCCAATACGAGCCACCCCCAGACATTACGAGCCACCCCCTAACATTACGAGCCACCCCTGACATTACGAGCCACCCCCTGCCATTACGAGCCACCCCTGCCATTACGAGCCACCCCTGACATTACAAACCACCCCAGACATTACGAGCAACCGCAGACACTACAACCCAACCCCCGGTACACCTAGCAAATAACGGATGTACAGTTCTTGTTCAGCCGAGCGTGACACCGTATACATAGCTATGTGGGTCGCTTACATCGGATCGCAGACCTGCCTTCAAACATTAACACAAGTTAGGTTTCCAACAATCAAACAGCCATTACGTTGGTTTAGTGTCAAGCTGCGACAGACAAATACTTTGTAGCAAACTTGCAACATATTTTTGGTATACCACGGCGACGGACAAATACCTTGTATCAAACTTGCAACACATTTTTGGTATACCACGGCGACGGACAAATACCTTGTATCAAACTTGCAACACATTTTTGGTATACCACGGCGACGGACAAATACCTTGTATCAAACTTGCAACACATTTTTGGTATACCACGGCGACGGACAAATACTTTGTAACACATTTTTGGTATACCACGGCGACGGACAAATACTTTGTAACACATTTTTGGTATACCACGGCGACGGACAAATACTTTGTAACACATTTTTTGGTATACCACGACGACTGGCCCGTGGTTAAGTATCAAGCTTGCAACACATCTGTAAAGTATTTCACCACGACAGACAAATACTTTGTATCAAACTTGCAACATCAATGTTGCTAGTATACCACGGCGGCGTATCGGTGGTTAAGTATTAACACACCCGAAAATATTTCACGTCGACGGACAAATGGGCTAGCTATCAGACAGCTTCAACTATCAAACTAGAAGAACAGCACGCAGTCACAGTGTTTAGTTTCTTTTACTCCAGAGTTTGTTTCGCAATCTAGTTGGACATGACTCGGCAGCTTTAAAATACAACCACAATAAATTCAAAAAAATGACACAAAAGCTATAAAATGGCAACAACCACAACAAGGATTACAAAGCGGCGACAGCGAGAATAGCCACAATACACACTCCCTCAACAATAGGTAACAATACCAGAATTAATACAACTTGGACAACAGCTTATCTACAATATAAGCCAAAAGGGAAATATTGTCTTTCTTTAAAAACTTAGTTTATTCTATTGCCCACCCGCTGGTTTTAAATTCCAACTGATTAAAATTCAACATAAACATTTTTTTTTTTAAAGTCGCAGAGAGCATAGGGAGAGGGGGGAGGGGAGAGGAACACAGAGGTCCTTGCTTGGATCTGTTTGTCCGGAAGTGTCTGATCATAATATCAGGGGAACGCGCCTTTTTAAAACAGGATAAAAGACAGGAGGTGGAAAAAAAAGTGGGTTGGGGGAATTGGGGAAGTGAAGAGGGGAGGGGGGAGGTAGAAAGAGGAGGGGAGAGAAAAAAAACCACCGTTAGCCTTGTTTAACGCTAAACTAAGGAAGTGGCAAAATAATAGCAAGGCTCCCAGCGGTGGGGACACTATACGGGGCGTTGTGCGGACTGGGATTAAAAATACAAATAAATAACCTGCTCTTGCTTATTACATTGCTCATGTAAAAACTCTAAAACAACACAACCAACCCTCTGTGATATTTAGAGACGGGGGAATTAAAAAAAAAAAAAGACATGGACACAAAAAATACAGGCAGTGTAGAAACTTCTGTCAGTTTAGTTATTTTTACCAAAGACGGGTAGGTGATGGTATCAGTGTATAGGGAAGCAGAAAAACATTGCTGGAGTTTTTCATTGACCCATGGGGTAACACCCAGTTGTTTACACCAGTGGCGTAGCGAGGTAGGGTGTCACCCGGTGCGGCACTTAATGGTGTCACCCCCCCCCCCCAGAGGCATAGAGACCCTTCCCAGGGACAAAGTTTCGATTTGCACCCCCCCCTCAAGTTTTTGATTTGCACCCCCCCCCCCCTCAAACTTTCGATTTGCATCCCACCTCGAGTTTTTCTCTATATATTTTGCTATTTTTTGCCTTGGTGTCACCCCCCTAAATGGTGTCACCCGGTGCGGTCCGCACCCCCGCCCCCCTCGCTACGCCCCTGGTTTACACTATAGCTGACCGGATGTGGCAGCTGCCGTTTACATAATGGTTGGTGTCAGAGCATCATCATGTATATATATATATATATATATATATATATATATATATATATATATATATATATATATATATATATAGGCCTATATACTTCAGACCAGCTCAACCAACACAGAGCCGTCTTGTACCGAACCACAGCTGGACAACTGACCTTGACCTCAAAGTGTCGGCCTATTTGATCAGTGTCACCCTATACAACAAAAAAAGAAAAGAGCTTTCCTGGGACGGGCGTCCGCCGAGGTCCATATCGCTCCCGAGACAGGTGTGGGGGAGTGACCCAGGTCATTTGAGTTAATGAGAATGATGAATCGAATGGCAGGGAGAGGACGGAGGGGGGTGAATGAGATATTGATTTGAACCTGTGGGAAAATGCCGTGTCCCCTGTGGGCCAGCACTGACCCATTCTGTCTGTCAAACTTTTTTTTCTTCTCTACCTCTCTCCGCCAGAGACCGTCTGTTCACATTACATACGTACACGCTCTGGCTATGTCTGGATGTCGATCAAGGGTTCTCAAAATTAAATGCTGAACAGCAACATTGGTTTAGAGTCAGTGTTAAATGCCGATATACCCTAAACATGATTTCCATCCATGTCTCTATTTGTGTTACCGGCACATGGCAGTAAGTAAAAAAACTGAATTCAACCAACTAATGACCGATGTCAGCTAGTAAAGAAAACAACAGTGCATTTAGACAAAAGCTTAATGCAGTCGTCAACGACCTTGCCTGCTAGTCATGTTGCTGGCCAACTGCTCTTAAGGGAAAAAAAGCACAAAATACTATCAACATTTATTCCCCCCCCCCCCCCCCCGTGTAAACAAAAAACACCATTTAAAACAACCTTGTAGCCCGAAGTACCGCAGACATAAACATAAAAGATACTGAGAAATCTATACAGTGTTTCGGGCATCTCTTCGGGGTGGGGAGGGTGGAGGCACTGTTCCACACCCCCGGATTGAAATAGAATTGATATAGAAAATGTGCAATTTTCCAAGTGCCCCCCCCCCCCCCCGGAAAAAGTCTGAAAGAAACTCTATAGGCCTACACACCACAAGACACAGCTATAATCATTATATAGGACACATTTTTTTCTATTAATATCAAGAATGTATAACATATCTAAAAATGCTTGCTAGGCTCTGAAAAAAAAATTCGAAACAAAATTTGAGAACTAAGAAAAAAAGAAAAAAAAAAGCTATAGCACGCAGGATCTTGACAGGAGCGTAAGAGCGTCGCTACTTGGTATTTAACTAAAGAAACATCCATTGATAAGGGGGCTTGTGCCACTACGATAACTTGACACGCCACGTACGGCCTTTTCGGATTTTCCCCATTACGCCGATTGTGCAAATAGAGAACTGTATTATACACACGGCCGTTATCATTACCACTATTGTCACGCCTTATAGGATTTTTATTACAGCGCAGTTTCCACTGAGTATTGGCTACATTATGGCAAACAAGAAACGTTTCAACGTTTGCATTTGAAAATTTTAAAGTATTACAGCCGAGTTGAGATTGAATCTATATTTCTGAGTAGCATTACTTAAGCAGTCAGCCTGGCCATGTGGTAATAAAAAGCACAGGCCTACATAAAAGACTGGTAACATTAAAAAGTGGAAATTAAAAAAAAAGTATAAGAAACAAATAAAGCAAAATATCAGTTTTTAAAAAGCTCTTAGTATACAATGTGATATAGGTGTGTGGGAAAAAAAATCTATTCATGCAGTGTCAATGCTAGGCCACGTTTGCTCAGTGTCATGGTATCATATTCTGTGTCAGTTTACCTGACATTACAGGTGTCAGGTGAGAGATGAGTGTCAGACAGACTTACTCAAACATTACAGCAGACAAGAGGCCCGGGTGTTGGATACGACAAAGGCGGGGAACATAACACTTTCACATTTATATGATAAGGGCAGGGTGGGACATACAACAAAAAGTTTGGGGTGGGGGATATTTTAACTTTTGACATGTTATAATTTCTAGAATAAATACTGTGGATCTTATATTTCCTTGAAAATGTGTGTGTGTGTGTGTGTGTGTGTGTGTGTGGGGAGGGGGGGGGGGAAAGGGTCATACTAATGCAGGGACAAATTTTAGAATGTGAGTCATACTTTTACATGATTACTTTCACAAGTCAGCATATACATATTTTAAATTATATTCACAATATTGGTTAATACTATTTACACAATTTAACGTATCAACCATTCAATTAAATAGATGCCATATTTTTAATGAAACAATCTTTTCAGTTAAATAGTAATTTGTCAGACGAAAAAAAAAGAATTTCTTTGTATATACACATTTAAATATATGCATGTATACATGTTTCTATTAATAAATAAATATATATATATATTCCATTATGATTTTATGGATATAAAATCATTATTTTATGATACTCAAAATTTTGAAAATCTAAAGCACACCATTACCAATAACTGTACATTAGCCTGTGGTAACCACTATCATTGTGTGTCTTAAACACCCCACCCCCCAATATACCCCTAGCTTGATCACTGAAAAAACAAACAGCTTAAAATATTTTTTTGGCCAACGTCAGACAATTTGTTTTTTTGTGAGCAAAGAGCTGTGTTAACCTTATCATATCGGCTCTGCTTCTATCTTACAGGGAGAGGATCAACAGGCTACATAGGATAGTAACATTCATTTTAAAATACAATTTTTAAAATTGTTAGTAACAGATGCTAATAGACCCTGAGGACCCTTCATCTATCTCTTGAGCACAGCTGGGGGGAGGGGGGGTTGTTTTAAAAACTGTTAGGCAGTCATTGTGTCAAATACAAACATACTTGTGCAAGCTCTTACAGAGTAATGTAGTAAATCAAATATACAGAGGAGCTATGATACCACAAATATTATAAGTAACACCCACATAATTTGTTCTTTTTTTAGGGGGATGTTGCAGACCATTAGTTTAAGGTTAATGCCCTATAGAACTGTGACCCATAGATGAAAGACTAAGCATCAAAGTGGATATTAACATTGGGATTAAATCGATAGATAACATGCCAATGGAGGGAAAAATACAAGTACTAGGCTAACAGAGTTTCTTTGTTTCTCTTAACCGTAACCTCCTAAAACTAACCAAGCCACATCTCTACCTTTCAACCTAACCGTATTACTTTATTTAAATTTAGCTGTATAATTAAATGAGATGGTAATTTTTGTATCTTTATCATCAGTGGTATCATTATCTTTGTCTTATCTTTTGCTGGGTTTTTGTTTTTGTCTTTTCCTCCTTATGTTGACTTCTATTGTGATATTTTCATCAAATTTTCATGTAAAATTGAAGAAAAGTAGACTTGAAAAGTGTAACAATAGAAGGCAGGGGTACAACTCCATTGACTGTCTATTTTAAATGTTTACCCAAAAGTAGACACCTCCAAAATAACTAACATAGTCTGCCCAATGAAAAAAAAAACAAGACTCACCTCCATAGTAACGGCCTGTAGATTGGAGCTGTACATGAGCCGCTTGGCCAACATGGTCTGGCACAGTTCTGAGATGAGGGCCACCAGGTTACCCATCCCATCACCAGAGTGGGCTGATGTTGGCACCAGTGAGATGTATTCTTTAGGGTTTTTGTTTTCATAGAACAAGGCAGCATTTAGGCCCTAAAAGTAAAATAGAGCAAAATAGGCTAAGTAAAAAATGGAATCATAAAATAATATATGAAGTTTTTTTAAATATTACCATCTGAATAGGCTATTGCAAATTTCTTAACATTCAAACCCTTTTTAAAAGCTATTGCAAATTTTACAATGCAACTAAAAACTTAGGAGATAAAATAATATATTAAAAAAAAATACCATCATATCATTAGTCATTACTTTAGTTTTAAGTAAAGGGAGACTACCCCCTAACTGAGTTTTAAAAATTGTCACTTAAAACTGGGCTATAGGCCTATGTCTCCAGAATTTTTTTTTATAGAGGAATAGTTATTTTACTGTAATTATTATAAAGTATAAAGGTAACAGTTCTTCTGTGGCTTTCATCAAAGACATAATCAATATGTTGTTTATGGGTCCCTAATTTGAGTGGGTATCTAAAAGTAAACTTTCCCAAATATCACACTTAGCTAAAGACAAAGGATTCATGTTAAGAAGCTTTCTCTGGTGGCTTTGAATTTTTTTTGTTCTTAAGCTGCTGAAAATCCCCCAAGAAGCCAAGTTAGTAAATGAGGCATCAACAGTGTTCCTGTGTTGGCTGATCAGTCACAGGACCCTAAGTGCAATGAAAAGTGGGATTCCCCACTTCTTGATTCAGACTTCTCAAAACCCCTTCATTTTTATTGGGTTTTAATTTTTTTTAAAACAACTTAATGATTTATACATTTGAATGGTGCCATACTTGATATGTCAGTTTAATGGGAATACGGAGAAACAATCTGGCAAAAATTGTGTTTTTATAAAATTTTCACCACAACTTTTAAGGTATTAAATTACGGATGTATAAATCGGTAAATTGGTTATGTTCTTAAAATATTTGTATGATTTCATTCTCATTTCAAGTAGTTTTAAATGTATAAATGATAGTTTATTGTGCATTGTGGTCCTTATATTAAGGTACATACAAATGCAATTTTTCAACTTAGCATATGTAGACCAGCAACTTAATTAGAGAAAAATGTCCGTCAGGATGTCCCCTGAAGCAGATTGAACTGGACCTTGCGTGCCTGTACTCACCTCTTCAGCCAGCTGTAGAATAACTTTTTGAGCTCTCTCATCAAATTCTGCTTTAGTATGTGGAGTCTGTTTTTTTATTGTGTTCTGTACATCAGCAGCAGGTTGGGGCTTCCACTGATATAATCTGTCGACCTGTGGAACATTAGGTTGACATGGGTTTACCTTCTACTAGTTTTATAATTAGTAAAAGTAACAAATATAATACTACATTTCATGACCACACAACTTGGGAAAAGAGAGTCTTAAATTACCAAGTTCAACTAAACAAAAAAACAAATTTATTAAATACTAAGTGCCGATTCAATAGAAAGCTGTTGTAGTACTAATAACCAAGTGTCTATTGAAGAGTAAGCAGTCACACTACTCAACACCATATACACATTCAATACAAGACTGACAAAACAAAATACACCACACCTTATTTAAAGCCACCACGAAGGGTGTCTTCCTCTCCTTCAGCAGGTTGATTGACTCTATGGTCTGTGGTTCTAGGCCGTGCATGATGTCAATCACCAGAATGGCAATGTCACACAGGGATGTGCCTCGCACTCGGAGATTGCTGTTAAACAACACAAATACAATCAAGACCTTTGAACTTAATAGGGAAGTGAAGACAAACGTTTCATAAATACGTTTAATTCTATGTAAATAAAAAAAAACTCTTAATACTTATAAAATCAATGCTTGATCTCTGAATGATATTTAAAATTTATCTGCTATACCTTAAAAAATTACTTATATTATAAAATGTATGCTTTATCTCTGAATACACAGTATATATTTACAAATTATCTGTTATCCCATTGCAGAAGTTACTAGCTTTCTAGATTTTAATACTGTATGAACCAAGGACAGTTTGCCCTCTACAAGTTATAAACAATTGCTTTCTTAAGAAAGCAACTGATAAGTTTGGAAACTGTTGACCTAACGTGCATTATTCTGGGATGTGACCAGATGATGAAAAATAAAGAGGAAATTTTTTTCACACTAAATTCAGTGCAATAAAGCACTCTTACAAGAACATCATACTAATTAATAAAAAAAGTTTAAAAAATGCAGAAAGTCCTTTTAATTGCAGATTTATCCTAATAAAAATGTTTTTTTTTTAATTCCACAAAAATGGAAATATTTTTGGAATATGGAAATAATGTTAAGCTTATTTTAACTGGTATGATCTATTTGCACAATTGTTCTCAATTCAATGTTTTCTTTTTTTTTATATTAAAGACGGACATGGTATATTTTAATTTTTGAATGCAAGTCTTCAACGGTAAAGAGCCTAATTGTAATTTTAACCTTTTAGTTTGTGATTAGACAATGACATTGTCTGATCTTTTGTCTGCTAATTAAAATTGCCAGCATAATTTTTGTCTCTAAAAAAAGCAGTCACATTAGTTTAGAAATCAGAAAGCCTATACAATATGCCACAGCATTAACTATTGCTAAAATCGCTAGCGATCTCACTGTTATTTTTCTCCAAACATACTCGGAGGTCATGAGTTCAAATATGCTTTGAAATTAATATGCTTTGAAATCAGCCAGTTGTAACAAGGAAGTGTGTTTCAGTTACTCTAGTGCTAATATTTATCTTTAGCAAAATTAATATGAGGTTCCAAAATTAAATAGAAAGCAGCATGAAATGGTAGAGGTGGGTTGCTAACAGTTTAAAAACTAAAGGTTAGGTTTTTTTAAAAGTAGATAAAGTATACCTAGACAACCACGTGTGTGATAATAAGGGTAAAGAAACTAAGCTCAGGAGATGTACATTTTCTTTATAAAACAGCAACATTTTAAAATATTTCTATCAGAATTTTTTTTTGTGTGAATATATGCAACTAAATACCATTAGTGGAAATAATTAGGATTGAAAAATTCTGAAATCTGCAGCTATTCAGTAAAGTCACATCCTTACTCATTAGACTTATCATTGTCTATGTGGTTAAAGTCCATCCTAAAATTGTTCCTAGAATACTTGATATAAAAGATTTATTTGAACAGAGCAATCTGTTTGAATTTACTTCAATTATGCATTTTTACTCATTGAAGATAATTCCACACAGTCACAATCTTTATGAACAACTGAATTTGTTAAAACTCTGGATCTTCTAATTGGCTTTCAACCTAATTGGCTTTGTAAATAAGTATTGTTTTTCATTCATTTCTGAGCAGAAAGTCTAATTTGAAATTTCTATGTAAACAAACAACAAAAGATCTCACCTGAAAGACTCATGACCAGGTGTATCAATGATCAAAAGACCAGGCAAACGCAGCTCTTGTTTAGCAAACTAAAAAAAAATATTTTTAAACAAAATATGGTAATAAGCAATAAGACTGGCATATGTTAACAATATGATTCTTTATAGCATTTTATAACCAATGAAATTCTAGCGTTTGAAGGTTAACAAAGTACTTTTCATAAAAAAATCGGATAGTTCTTGTTTGAAAATAAAGCCTACTCACACAGTTGTTACCAGTTAATTTAAAAAAAAAAATGTAAACAATACACCATTCACACAATCATGTTTACCTCTTTACACATTTTAGTTTTGTCAATAATAGCATCCTTGGGAACATTTGTAGCGCCGATCTGTTGTGTGATACCCCCAGCTTCATTGTCCTGAACATTGGTTCTGCGCAACTGTGGAGGATACACCAAACATGTAACTTTAATACAGCTCTAATCATTTAACATCATGGAGGATACACAACACATGTCACTTTAATACAGCTCTAATAATTTAACATCATAAAACCAAACTTCTAATTCTATAGTGCAAGTGAATATTACTTAGACATTACAAATTATATGTCAGTCTAATTTTTCCTTTAACTCAAGTGAACACAGCAGTTAAAGTATTAATTTCACACACAAATGTAGGATTAAATTAGAAATTAAAAGAATTACACACACACCTTGTCTAATATTTTTGTCTTTCCTGTATCTACATGGCCCAGTACGCACACAACTGGTGCTCGAAGGTTCTCCACAGTTCTTTCTTTATTGGCCTTTTCGGCACGTTTCTAAAGAAAACAATTTTTTAAATAACAAAAACCAGACAAAATAATTATAAACACACAAGTAGCAAAAGATATCTGTAATGTTAGTATATTTTAAAATATACTAAGACCAGGAAAATATACTATCTCGTTTTTAACTGCAGGATGCATAGGTATACCAGAGATGTAACTTGCCAAATTAAAAAAAAAATTTTTAAAATCAATATAGACACATTACTTCCTAACTAATTAAGCCTTTTCCATGTGAAAGTTTAAAATTTTGAGGAAAGACTAAAAAAATGTAACCATGAGTTTTAACATTTTTCAGCCCTTTTTAAACTATAAAGACCAATTTAGTTGTTTTAATTTAATTAATTTCCCAATCATCCCAAAAAAATAAATGGAGTCATGCCTCTTCCATCATATATGACCCAATAAAAATATCTAAAACCCGATATCAAAATTTACTTCAACTCTAAAAGAAAAAACCAGTTTAAAATAATTTAAAATAGCAATCAGCACAACCTACACTACTGGGTGGAGGTTTTGTGGTTTTACTCTAAATATTACACTTTTACATAATTTGTTGGCAAAAAAAAATCATTGGTAGAAAAGCTTTCATATTCTTGAGAAAATTGTCACAAGTTACATTTCTGATATACTCATAATCTCCATAAGATATCCTGGGTTTTTAAGAGACTTAATATACTTTAGATAGAGCCATGTTATAGATAACAGGTAAATATTAATTTTTTTCATTATTTTTTTAAATAGAATAGAGTAATAGTTATTTCTCCCACAAAATTTTTTTTTAAAACAATGAATACTATTCTTACCAAAACTTTATCTCTTCCCCTCTCAGCCGGAGTCATTTCCTCATCTGTTTCAGATTCTGACTCAGACTCCTCACTGCTCTCTTCCTCCTCACTCTCAGACTCACTTGATTCCTCCTCCTCTTCTTCTTCCTCCTCTTTTTTCTCAACCTCTTTCTTCACTGGCTCTGCAACTTTCACTGTAACTTGCTTAGCTTCTACTGAAAAACAGTTTACTTATTGTTACAATTTATTTATTAATACAGCAAAATGTATTTATGGCGACAATGCAAAAATATATACTTTTCAATTTGATTAGACATTAGGATAATTATTAAATTAATATTACTAATTTCATTTATAACAGGGGAGATAAGAATACTAGCGATTGCTTGATTAGCTATCTAATGAGCATGAACTCGCGTAAATGTGTAGAAAATTTCAAGAGCAAAAATTTGTTATAGAAAAAAAATCAGCTTTTTTTTCAGTGCATTTAAAAGCTTATATATTATAAATTAAGATAAAGGTTTTTTAAAATATATATTTTTACATCGGTATTTGAAGTACTATAGACTGATAATTTCTGCTCTGCCTGATTTTGAGTTCTATCTTCTATGCCAGTACTAACAATGTACACAAAAATATATTTTTTATATCAGTATTTGAAGTACAATAGAGGAATATTTCTGCTATGCCTGCTTTTGAGTTCTATTTTCTATGCCAGTATTAACAATGTACACAACTCCCCAGCCAAACATGAGGTGTCGACTGAGTCAAGCTGACCTGAATGGGGCTTATCCTCCTCCTCTTTGTCACTCTCAGCATCCCACGCCTCCTTAACATCCTCCACAACCTCAGCCTGTGGCTCCGCCTTGGTCTCCCCCACTGCCTCCTGCTCGGCCTCCTGTTCCTCCACATCAACTGACTTAGAAGACACCTCCACCAAGTCTACCTCCGTGGGTGAGGTGGGTGTTGTAGGAGATGGGGATTTCTCTAAATGGTCTCCTCCTGCTGATGCTAAAAAAATAAAATCACTTCAATTACATTTTAATTTTATAAACAAAAATGTAGGTATACTTTCTTTAGTGAGGATTGTAATTTTAATTAAGCTTATGAATTTACCTTGTGGACGTTTCTTCTTTTGATAAACAGGTCTTTTCTTGGGGGCTTCACTATCCTCTTTGTTTGGTAGTATTTCAGCCCCTATCAACATATAGGACATTTTAAAAATAATTTTACATTATAATTTGTCAACTTGTTAAGTCCAAATTAGTTTAGATTATCATATAGAGGCTAATAAAAACAAGACAAAAAAGTAAACCAATAACTGCCTATGTTTACTGTTGTTATGATCTACTAGTGAGCCTGTATTCCGCAAGTTCCCGCGGTCTCCAAAGGAAGTCTGACATATTTTAAGAAGGTTTCATCATTGCGTTATTAATCCTACATTCTTAGATGAGTGACCTTGTTTTCTAACACTGAGTAATTTAAATGTAAACAATGCCTGCACTACATTTCTTGGATCGTATTTGTCGTGGCATGAGTTTGCCTACACTACACCCAGCACTTCCCAAGGAGTGCTGTTTGAAAGCCATAAGCGCACGTTAATCACTCTCCGTGGTAGAACACACTTCGGTGAGCGCTCAGATGTCAGAGATGTAGAGGGGTGTTCTCTGGAGCCCCCGGTTACACCTCAGCAGGGGCACCTTAGTGCTCAAAGAATAGCCCGAGGTGTCAGATCGCACCCTGTCTGTCGGGGCACTAGCGACAGCGCCTGATTCAAATTAGTTAACTACTAAAAATACCACATTTTATCCATATTCTATCGCACAAAATGAAATCAAATCGCACCCTGATGGGGTGCTGCCATTGTGAAATAAAAACTTTTTTCAGCGAAAACCTCCCCAGGAATACACTCAACAACTTTCCAAAGTTTCATGGCGATCGGATGAAAGATGTAGTAATGCATAAACGACAAACATACTTTGATTTTTATATATTTAGCTCTAACAACAAAAAAACCCCATTAAACGCCAATGTTTACTGCAGCTAGTTACCTGTTGCTTTCATGGCTTCAAGCATCTGCTCCAGTCTCCTCTTGTCTTGCTTCTGTTTCTCAGTGAGAAACTTCCCTTCTTTCTTCAAACGCTCTTCTCTTTCCTTCTTCTTCATCTTTTTCTTTAACTTCCTTTCTTCTTCCAACCGTTTCTGTTTTATAAAAATAAACTCTAAAATAATATTCTGCTATATAGAAGCCTACTCCTTTAAAACAATTAGCCCCAACCAAATAACTTGATATGCATAGCATATTCACATACAGATAAAAATTATCTGGACAAGTTAATACAGTGCTGGGGACTGAAGAAAGTGGAAAATAATACTTAAGGCCCTATGTTCCACATGGAATAGAGAGAATTAAGTCAAGTAAACACATTGATTACAAAAGGGATAATGCTACGGCATAATAAGTAAACTTGCCTCTTCTTCTAGCTTGCGGATCCTTTCTTCTTCCAAAAGCCTTTGCCTTTCTTCCTCTTCTTTTGCTTTTTGTTCTTCTTCTTGAATTTTCTTTAAATGTTCTTTAAGAGCAGCAATCTAAAAACATTTTTTTTTATGTTAACAAAAGTTTGCTGTCTGTATGAGGATACAACACTACTACAAAAACAATTAGCAAGAAATTAACTACCAATGATTGTACAGTGAACATAATCTTCGATATTTTTGAAAAGCACTAGACATACCATATACATTTAAAAAAAAAAAAATACCTACTTTCTTATTTGGTTTGGCCTTTTCCTCTTTTTCTTTTTCACCCTTCTTTTTCTTTTTCTTCTTTCCATCTTTGGCATCTAAGAGCACAAGCATAAAGAATCTAATGATGATAAGCTAAAATATATTTTTAAGATGGAAAAATAAGTTTTTCGCCATTAGAATCATTGTTAAAATTCAAATTGCATATTTAAGTAAATAACTATTCAGGGACAAAACATCATGAAATTATTTTCCATGCCAAATAGTAAAGCTTTAGTAAATTCAGATGAGGTAAAATGTGAAATGTGCCAGAAATGCATAGAACGAGTGCCAATTTTTCTTGCAGTTAGACATATGTTTAGACATCTGTTAAATTTGCTTTAGTCCCAAAAATATTTATTTCTAGAATTTTAATATAGATTTAGGAATTTCAAGGAAATCAAGGCAAGAGTTGAAACAATAATCAGGCCCTGTTTAACTGTGCTAAAGATATTAAAGTTTTGTTTAATGAAATGCACCTTAGGGGTCATCCATTTACAGAAGGGAGGGGTAAAAAAAAATCGACTTTTGTGGACAAATGCAAACTGGGGAGGGGTGGGGGTATTTCAGGTCCATGTCAAAGTCCACAGGTTGAATTTAAACATTGAAGTAGGCCTACTTACATTGCAAAACAAACATATACTCTTATCCTGCATATAAAAAGTAAAATAAAGGGGGCAGTGCTATTGATTTAGAAAAGAAAAAAAAGCTGAAAATGTAAATGAATCTCAGTATTCATACCTATACAAGGTCATAAATACCAGAAACAAGGTCAAGATTTTTCTTTTTCATTATTCTTTGGAAAATTCTCTTCTAAAATGGTTTAAGTTATGTCTGTACATTTAAAAAAGAATAAGACAGTAGAATAGATAAAGCAACTGACCATCTTCTCCCTCAGGTCCAACAACTTCAGGCGTGCCTTCCTTACTCTGTGTGTCTTCTGCTTTATCTACAGGCGGGCTATCTTCTTTTTTTATTTCTTCAGATTTTACATCATCTTTTTTCCCTTTTTTCTGTTTTTCCTGTGATAAATAATTGTTACATGGTTTTAAAAAAAAATTAACAATAAATGCCTTAATAAAGTAAATAACTCTAAAATAAATCTTTGTTTTATCAAAAATAAAAATAGTCGTAATCATACAATGTAACAGAACCAAATAAACATTTTAAAATAATAATTTTAACAGTTCAATTGCCAAAGGTCTTAATAAATTAAAATTACAACTGGACTCGATAATGAACTGCAATTACCCATAATTACTTTCCCCCCAATTTAAGCCACATTAATTATTAGTCTTTTTTCCCACTAAAATTGGAAAAAGACAACAATAAAAAAATTAACCCCATCTTCAATGAAATCTCTTTTAAATTTACAAGAATCTATCACTAGTGTATGGTGAAACATAAGGTATAACTCAAATAACACTTAGTAAGACAAATCTAGCAAGTTAAAAAAAAAATTATTGCTTTTAAAAGCCTGGCTTATTGTAAAAAACAAAAACATGCAAAAACTGAAAATACTATTAACTTTTTAATTTATCTGGAAATAATATTAAAAATTATTTTAATTTCATTTGAAACCAACCAACCATTCAATAAGAGCTGATTAAGCTCTGGAAATTGCTAGCTACTCAAACCATAAGCCAAAGCCAAAGTTTGACTAGTAATCATACATTTTACCCTTACAACAGACTGTTCCAAATGAGTCAAGAATACATGGAAGCAAAATGTTAAACTTATCACTAAGATCAAGCACTGGTCACTTACTAATATTTTCTTCTGTTTCTCCCTGTCTCTCTTCTCTTTCCTCTTCTGGGCTGCTGTTTTGACCGTTCCACCTTCATCGTCTTCCTCAGCCTCATCATCCAACTCTTTTTTGTCCTCCTCAACCTCAGCAGTTTTTGGTGCCTCAGTGACAGCCTCCTTGCCTTTTTTACCTTTTTTCTTTTTCTTACGGTCATACTCATCATCATCCTCCAAATCATCAATGGTCACCACTTTGGGCTCAACTTTAGGCACTTCACTCACCACGGCAGGCTCTTCTGCAGCCTTTTCCTCTACCGGTGTTTCCTCTTCCTGCTTCTTGCCTTTCTTTCCTTTCTTTTTCTCTTCTGGCTTCTTATCTAAGCTAGCCATGATGGCATCAATATCTTCCTCTTCAGGTTTTTTGGCTTTTTCTTTCTTTTTAGGCTTTTCTTTCTTTTTAGATTTGTTTGATTCTGTGTTGACAGTTTCAAGTATAATTTCTTCTTTTCCTTTTGATTCATTCTATAAAATAGAGATGTATATGTATCACAGGGCATTGTAATGATTTGTTTTACCTGCATCATGAAACACTTTAAAACAAATAAAGACATGGCAGAAAATGACAACTACTGAGATTCTGACACAAATGAAAACTCAAAAACTAAACCTCTTTAGATACACATTACTTGGTGAAAATCAATCAAGCCTCATTTGCAATTACCACTACAGAAATCGGTTCCCAGAAAATGCGCGATTGGGAAACTGCGCAAACAGAAAAATTTGCAAATGCAAACTTATTATACTAATACACTTAAATTTTGTAATTTTTCATGGCAATGTTTTACTATGCTACAATTTACATGTAGTTGTTTGATGTTAATATCTATTTTATGCTTGATTTAAGAAAACAATAAGGCCAATGTACACTTTTTTGTACAGTTTTCCGTTGCCCAGTTTTCCATTGCACATCTTTCCGGTCATCATAGATATATCATGTTTACTACTTCTCAACCCTCCAGGATCAGATTAGTCCATCTACACCTGAAAACCAACTGTAACTAAATGTGTACTAACTGAAGAACAGTTTCAGTATGGAACTAGATACTAAACATAAGAGATGAATTATGTAACTGAGAACTTATCCATGAGACCAGGAAACTACTCACATCACTGTCTTTATCACTTTTGTCTGCTGACTCATCATCAAGGTCTTCCAGAAGCTGAAACGCTGATAGCCCCTTTGTCTTTTTCTTGTCCTAATAGCACGATGGAAAATACAATCAGTTACATACATTTTTCACCAATGAAGTATACAATTATGAGAAGTATGTGGTCAAATTGCATGCGAATTAAGTTTGTTAATGCACAGTGTTTCACTATAATGTATAAAACATACATGAATTTTACTTTTAAATGGAAATTTTCAACTGGACAATCTATATAGAATCTGAAGTGCTTAAAATTGAGCTACATCCTGTCAATAAACTTCATTGAAAAACTGCCTTTTATCTTTATATATGGAGGATGAGTGTAAATATAATAAATCTGTGGGTAGGCAGATAAAAATATACATGAATGTGCTACCTTCTTCTTTACTGCTACAGGTTCATCTTCAGCTTCTTCTAGGTTTCCACCATTAGCCTCTAGCGACAGTGCTTTTAGCTCATTTTCAATTTCCCTGGAGGTAGAAAAAAGTCAACTCAGAACTATGCAAGTATTTCATATAGCATTGTCAGTGAGTCAAACAAAAATATTGATGCTTCACTAAAAATCACTTAACTGTTTTAATTTCAACTTCTACTATTTGGTGATAGTATGCCCCTACCAATACACCAGGTATTAACAGTGTATTTTATAACTGATATTTTAAATATATTTCAAAATCTAATCTGCTGAGCAAAAAAAAAAAGTCCATCAGTTTCTGTAGCTACAAGCTACTGGGTCAGCCAGTGGCTAATTCAGAAGTGGATGAGCTAATAAGAGGCTAAGTTGAAGTTTTTGTTAACTTGCAACTAGTGACAAACTTTACCAGTCTTCATCATCTCCACGGGATTTTCCCTTTTTCTTCTTCTTGTCTTTTTTGACAGCAGGGTTAGAACTGGGCTCTTGAGGGGGTTTCTTTTCCATCTGTTTGGTTTTAACCTCATCATTATCCTCACTGAAATACAGAAAGAATGTATTCCAATTTAAATTTGAAAAAAATACATATTACTTGCAACTATTCAACTTATTTCATATTGCCAATGCCTAGCACAACTCATTAATATCCAGGTGTTAACATTTTATATTATACTTTATAATAAATGACAGTATTATACCACTAAAAACATACAGAATTAATCTGCTGAGTCTTGAGAGCTTAGATCTTCAAATGAACTACTCCAAACAATCATAAACACATTTAAAAATTTCAAATATTAAAGACTAAAATGAGCATGAAAGTTTTGTATGTTGCACTTGTAAAACTTTTAAAGATATATGATTTGGTGTTTTAATTTTAGAAACTGACAAATACTAAAAATAGCTGCTTTATTTTTAGCTACACAGTCAATGTGTTTATGTTTAGATATCATTAGACAGAGATGAAAAAAATTTCATAATTAAATGTGATAGTGTGTCTTATCACAAAAAGGATAGGTCAAATACTAAAAGGCCTAACCCAGAATATATCTAATTGCTAAATTGTTTGATTAGATGAAAATAATATAAACTGGGGTAATGGTCAAGTCTTACAATCTACTTAGGTGAGGTGCTAGGGACGGAGTGGTCTAGCGGTAGAGAGCTGGACTGCTAACCCGTTAGTCTCGAGTTCGAATCCGGGTTCAAGTCAGTAGACCGTCCCTGAGTTCACCCAACTCTGATGGGTACCTAACTCACGTTAGGGAAAGTAAAGGCGGCTGGGCATAGTGCTGACCACACTATCTCTTCATATGCCGAGGTCACAGAAACAAGTGAACTCTACTTCACTTGCCCCATAGACCGTCAGGTTTGAAAGGGAAACTTTACTTTACTTTTTAGGTGAGGTGCTGGGCTAAAAGATGGTATTGATCTAAGTGTGTGTAATGAGATTTAAGAAAAGTGCAGAGATATACAACTTGTACTTATGCATAAAGAAAATAGAGGAACATATTTTTAATTTACAATCGATTAAGTTCAAGTTTTTACTTTTAATCATACCCATTTTATGGAAACAATTATAAGAAAATATGAAACATACTTTGGTCTTGTTGTATGATCCTACAATATAAATATTTAAAGAAGAAGAAAATTTATTTAAAGTCATTTAGGATGTAAACAATCTAGAAATGGAAGTCACAAAAATGTTCTTTGTATTTGAATGGGTATCCCCAGCTTATGGGATTATCAATTTCTGGAATTATTGATATTGCTCTCTTAAAGAGAAAATATGTTTGTGGTCAGCAGCATTCTATGCTAATCTATAATGCTATTCTTGGTAACAGGTATATTTTTCTGACCAGACATCAATAAAGTGTTTAGACAGTTGCCTCACGCTGATCAAAACATGACACTACTTTATTTTATTCCTATAAATAGTCAGTTATACATGTTATCAGAAAATCAAGACGACTGGCTATCTTCAACTACCCTTTGTGAAAAAAAGTTTACATTTTAACTGTCAATTATAATAGTAACTTAAATAATATCTGTGGTACATTTGAGGGAACAGAATAGTTCACACATACACATAATGATAAACCTAACAATCTTGACAAGTGCATGACAAAATATGACCACATAGACTATGTAAACCAAAGCAGTAGCTGTTAATTTCAAATTTAAGTTGATTATGATTTTCAAAGTTTAAAAATTAGAGGTTTAGTTTCATGGTTTTTTTTAATTTTATTTTTCTACACTTTGAGGAGAAAGATGATTTTTATGGAAGGCAAATCTGTTTCTACTTCAACATAAGCGTAAAACCTTCTTTTGTGTGTCAAAATTGTAAACTTACAGAAAAAATTTCATACCAGTAAGCAGCCCTGTACAATCTGATTAGCAAAACTATGTGAGGGAAGACAACACCTTGCCCAGGCGTTTTTACTTTCCCTAACATGAGTTAAGTACCCATCAGAGCTGGGTGGACTCAAGGGAAGTTCTACTGACTTGGACCCGGATTCAAACTCGAGATTTTCACCGTTCAATGAGTATGTAAACTAGTATTTAAGCTTAAATGCTAAATAATGAAATTTAGGCCTACTTAGAAAAAGATGTAAGACTACTGATTTAACTAAATACAAATATGAACTGCCAATGTCAACTTAATACCTACTATAGCCCTAACCCTAATTTCTGACCATAACATTGGACCTGAGACAACTAACAGCACAACAGTACACCTTTTTCTCAAAAGTTTATTGTCAGACATAGGTAATACTAATTTCTTATTAAATATTTCAAAAAAATGGTGACATCACACCCCTCCCACCCCCCCCCCCCCTTCCCCAATAATTTTTAATCTTCTATTTTAAGTAAGCCATCTTCCCTACTATTGCTTTATTATTAACAAAATAAAACATTGTTTTGATGATTAGCCTATATCATACGTTTTGTTATCTGGTGTTGCCCAATAGTATAACTGATATCACCCAATGATGAATGTTTGTTTATATGAGTTTTTTGGTACATTTTTTCAAACAAGCTAACATTGAGTCCCCCCCCCCCCCCCCATCAGTCAGAATAAGAATGTGAATCACTGAATGTCAAAGATTAGGAGAGGTCCTACTCTACTGAGTTCTGAAGTTACTGTAGGGTTAACCTTTTATTCTGATAATAATGGTATCTTTCGTAAAAATCTTAAGAAAAATAGCTCTAGACTCTAGATCCCCTATTTTATTAAATTTGATAGGAACTCATAGCTTTTACTTTTATTATTTATTTTAAAACAAGAATGTCATTCATTATTCACTTTATTCAGTGTCCATAAATGTTAGAATCTAGCCTAGAGTCTAGACCCAAACCAAATCACTTGACGACTGTAAGTCTAGATCTAGAATATCTAGATCTAGTTTCCTTTCAGACTTTACTACTTTTAAGTAGTTAATTTAGTCATTAGTCACTTAGTGTAGTGACTGTGTAGTGTACTCAACTCAGCTGGGTTGTCACTGAAAACTCGTCAAAATTTTCTATTTATAACTTACAAGTCTTCGTCGTGGGCTTTGGCCCCTTTCTTGGGTTTTCCCATATCATTAATAAATACTTTGACTTCTTCAGTGTGCTAACTAAATAAAATAACAATATAAATTATATAAATAAATAGTTTTATTTTTCAGTTTCTTTCAACAATATTGTACACTCTGTTGTCGAAATTTCGTAGTTGAGTTTGTGTATGCGCATGTATCAGCAGTATCCGGTCGAATCGAATACAAAGTATTGTACTTGTTTTGTAATTACATTTCACATATCCCATTCCATGTTCGATCAATTCAAGCTTGTTTAAATGTAAACTATCTATAGGACTCTAAAACGAGTGGCTTATAAAAATATTTCAACTTCTTAAGGGTCGTTATTAAGGAAAAAAGTCTAAATAAGTTGTTGAAATTTTTAAAAATATTTCCTTTCGATATTGAGGGTTGGAAGGAAGTGTCCGATTTGTTTTTGTTTTACCATTACTATTGTTAAGCTAAATTAAAGCTTTTCAATAAAATGTATTATTTTAGACAGGAAAAAGAGCTTCCATTAAGATTCTTATGAAAATTCATTGCATTTTTGATATTTAGGTTTTATAATTTATGACAACATTGGGGAATCAAACAGTTATGAAATATATCGAATAAAACTAGGATAGCAGTAATCGCTTCAGCATGTTATAATGAGCATTGTGGGTACCTAGTTAATTCCCTTTACAAAAGAGCTCCATTCATAATCCGACTTTGTTTTATTTTTGTTAGGCATTATTATATCGAACCAGAAGACTTTGCATTTTAATTGATAAATTTTATAAGTTTTTTAAGACCTTTGAAACCGATATATCATTGTATAAACTGTATATTTTATAGAATCACAAAAAATAAAAAGTTATTTATTTACTATTTTCTCATTGTTGCTGATCTTTAGGAAAAAATAATGTATCTGGTCTAGTTATCTCATGTAATCTTAAACTATAATCTAAATTGATTTTAATTTTAAGCTAGTGTATTTTTGTAAATAAATTTAAAAAATAAACAACTTTCACGCCAGTAAACAAAAATATATTGGAAATATATAACGCCAACTAAAGTTTGTCAAGGGAATTAATTTTGAAAAGTATTACTAAAACATAATAATTGGGTTAGTTCCCTTAAATTAAGTCTACCAATTTTTTTTAAAAATTTTTTTTTACTAATCTAGAAAATTTGCATGTTTAGATATTTACAAACTCTTGCATTGCATGATAAAATTGATCCGGCAAAAGGGCTGAACATACTACGAAAATGCTTTAAGGAGCTTTCTTGAAAAAAATCTTAACCTAAAAACAATACAACTGTTTGTATTGTTGGGCTTTTACATGGTACGCACAGCACATGTGTATATGATGAATAAATTGCGCGGTATATTCAGTTATGTGAATATGGTGTAAAATTTAGCTTGGTAGCATTAGTCGAATACTCATGTTCAATTTCTGTTTTTAGAAAGCCCACCCCTTCTATTATCAAAAACATATAAAAATATATATAAGTGTGTGTGTATATATATATATATATATATATATATATATATATATATATATATATATATATATATATATCACATGCCCAATATTTTGAGTAGCTTACATGACTTATGACACCTGACTTACCTGATTTACCACACATGATTTACAACATGACGTTTAACGCATGATTTACAACGTGTATACCAAGCCTGAACATGCTGTCAACACCAGGTAAACAGTACTCCACCTGTTCCGTTACATCATTCACAGTGCCAGTCCTCCCTGCCTGTGTTTCGAACCTGGGACCGATTGTGATCCTTACCCCCAGACCTACCACCCCCTGGTCCTCCATGCTGTGACGTGTCAATAAGCCACAAATAAACCCGCGGTGTCCGGGTATTGAAATAACAGGTGTACAAAAATAAAAGCGATTGCTTCCCTTGTCACGATTACTTCCCTTGACACACCACGATTACCACCCCTTAGCATACCGCGTCAGGACACTTTAGATATAAATACCCTTTAGTGATTACAGAATGGTTGGGGGGGGGGGTTGTTGGGGGGAAGGGGCATTGTTTATTAGAAACTAAAATGGTCACTCACAATAGACGTGAGCGCACTTGTTCATTAGAAGTCGTATTGTCTTGTTTACCAACAAACACGAGAAACCCAGGTGGTCACTGTAATGCGTACAATACTTACAATACATCCAAACACCCTTTAAGGAAAATTAACGAGTGGTTTTCGTATCACCAGGCCACACCTGTAGGGGCGCGGTCATATGTTGGCAGAGGCGTGAACATAAGAACAGAAATGGACCATATAAATACATGTATAATAACAAGCGTGTTTGTGGGAGGGGGCGGGGGAAGGAGAGTGCGACTTAAATTTCCGGGTCAAGGGTTGAGTGCCGGCGCTGGTTAAAGCATGTGTTTTCTATAATATTGTTTTACCTTTTCTGTTTCAACCATCATTCACGCAGACATTAGGGCTGCCTCACCCTTATCCACCCAGCTCTAATGGCTACCTCACCCTCATCCACCCATCTCTAATGTCTACCCCACCCTTATCCACACATCTCTAATGGCTACCTCACCCTCATCCACACATCTCTAATGGCTACCTCACCCTCATCCACACATCTCTAATGGCTACCTGCCTCTTATTCACACAGGCCTATTTCTATAACTGACTCTTTTTTTATATAATGCTGACCACATACTACCCTTATACAACGATATAGTACTATGGTATACTAAAACAGTTGATCTCTACATCACCTGTAATATGGACATTCAGGGTGTATATTCTTCAATGACTGAAGACGCCTAAAGAATCATGTAGCTTTTAATCTTTAGAAAATAAAATACGCCCAAAGAACCATATGGCTCCCACGTTTAATGTAATACGTCATTAATTAATGAATAAAAGTAGAAGCGGTCTGTCCTTTCATCTACCGGTCATCTAGGTCTAAGCCTGCTCACAAAAACTGATCTAATTTATTCTTCCCTTTATTTTTCAAATCCTTGTTTTTAATGTGGGGCTAACCCTTTTCAACTAGAAACTTTCGTCATTCAGCAATACGTCAGTGTTACCTCAACAATCCATTCGTCAAATAAAATTAATGACTTCATCGCAGACTGCAATATAGATGAAATTTTTTTCTCTGCCATCCTTTTGCGCTCATAAATCTTATCCCGTTTGTATTCTTTGTTCTTAAAATTCCCGTTTGCATTGGTGTGTTGTTTACCGTTGCTATGGATACATGGAAATGCGCTGGAAAATGTGAAGAGCTAGGCCTATATTTACTTTTCAATTTTACTAAACCACAAAGAGCGTGGTTTTTATACTGCTAGCTATGGCCACCAAGGAGCAGAGAACTCCTGAACGTTTATTATGGTTGCAGTTGACACCTAGTGAACTATTTTTTTTATTATTTCTCTAAAAATGTGTGTTCATGACCTCTCCGTTGTGGACTAAAAGAATCTCTGCACATCTCGAGTGGTCAAGCCGGACTATAATGCCATCCAAGAAGGGCCTGCTCCAGGTACCAGAAGGCTATCTATCCATCACCGAACTTGATCAAACATGTTTATCCCCCCTTGAATACAATGCTTTCATGCAACGCCTGGATTACCCACGAACGATAACTCTCCATATCCGCCGTCCCTTCTTTGTCTCGCAGCCCCAAGCTAAAGGGCCGCTACTCCGCCATCAAGCCAAGGGGCCGCAACCCCTTCCATTGAACGCCCGCCGTATTGAGATATTATATTTGTCTCGCGCGGTCATCACATCCTACCCCTAGGTGGCGTCTATGAAAATTCGTGTTTACTCTCTAAGCAAATGTAAACACCCGGGTGTCCGGTCAGTACCTAAATTACCACCCTGAACAATAGCCCTAGCCAGGTCGGATATTTGACCAGGGGGGTTCGTGTCACGTGATCGCGGTGGAAACGGGTACAAAGCTAACAGGTGCGATTATCCCGGGAAGAAAACATGACAAACAGAACCTATGACACTGACAAAATTAATAACCTTTAAACGCTTGGAAGGAAAGACGCTATGAAAAAAAGACCTCAAAATAGCTTAGTTTTTAATGAATTTTCGGATAGCCCTACTACAGAAATACCTTAGGATATACGCATGCGCAATGGAGAGAAACTACGACTTGCCTTAGTGGCGATGTTTTCGATGGTACTGCGCATGCGTGTGTTTACAACCGCAGAACCCTAACACCAACCCTAATTCTATCCTTAACCCTATCCCTAATCCTAACCCTAGCCCTAGCCCTAGCCCTAATCCTAATCCTAACCCTAACCCTAGCCCTAGCCCTAGCCCTAATCCTATCCCTACCCTATCCCTAATCCTACCCCTAACCCTCATTCTAGCCCTAACCCTAGCCATAGGTCACTGCGCATGCGCAGGGCTATCTTTTGCCGACTAAGTGGAGACGTTGGGGAGAAAAATCTTCTTCCGAGTAGACACTTCGAATACCTTAACCATAGTGTTACTCTTAGTGTATGTTTTTATAGACTTTGGCGATCTTGGTGAACTTTTGATTATACATATATAAGAGAAGTAACGCCCCCCACCCCCCACCCCCCCCCCCCCCCCCATGGAGCATGTACACCACCCCTCAAACGCAGGACGAAATAGAGAAACCTACAATTTATGTACAATATATATACACACCCATCCTCCCCGAAATTTTAAGTGCGCATCCAATCATCGGTTTTTTCCTGGCATGTCTTCGTCCCCCCCCCCCCTCCACCCCCCCCCCCCCCCCCGAAAAACTTCTACCCCCCCCCCCCAACGAAATAGAATTTATATAGAACATATATAATTTTACCAGTGTCCGCTCCATACCCCCCCCCCTCCCCGAAAATTTCTCCCGGAGAAGAAAGTCTGAAAGAAACACTGATCGTCGTCGGAAAATGTCTGAAAGAAACCTCGCCCTCAGACATAGAAGAGCCAGTTGTTGATCTCCTATGTACTGCTTAATGCTAGAAACATGACAATGCGTTACAGTTAAAAAATACATTCCAAATCATTGTAAAAAATATATTCAACAATGCACTTACACGATTTTTTTTAAAAACTGTAGTTGGTAAGACAAGGGTAGTGGAGTCAGAGTGGATAAATTGTTGTCTGACTCCTTGAGTCTTAAAACAAATGACTCTCGCTTTAAAAAAGCAATACATGTTGTTTTATTTTTTACT